ATGTGTTGAATAAACTAATGACTAAATGTAATGCATGCAAACTCAAAGTAATAAACTCCAACTATCCTCCAGCTCACTTCACAGGGTGGAGTAGTTTTGCCTTGCAGTACTTCACTAACTTGCCCCTTCATCTGAAAAACAGTGACAGCACTCTTCCTACCTTCTGAGTGACCCTTCACTTACAGCCCTTGATTTTGCTTGTTTCTGAATGAACCTATTTCAGTAACAATCTATATGTCACACTTGTCACCATTCACCACCTTCCCCTCAAGATCAATGGATCTTTTTTTTTTAAAGATTTATTTATTTATGCATACAAGAGTTGGGGTATAGGCCAGAGGTGCAGGGGTGAGAGGATTCACCAGAGACAGAGTGGGGAGCAGAACAGGCAGATCTACTGAAATACACTGCTGAGGGGAGCAGCGGATGAGACAGGAGAGGTCTGCTCTCCCATGCAGGTCGGCTACCTGGCCAGGGATCAAACTTGTGCTGCAGTGGTTGTGGTTAGCTTCATGGTGCTGAGACTTAACCCCTTGCGCCACCAGGAGGACCCAAGATCAATGGATCTTAACACATTTTCCCACAAAGTCTGGACCATTCATAATTATCTTCTGAAGGAGAAACCTTTCTAGAACAGTGCAATAATGGAGTTGGCACTCAGAGCTCAACAATGTGCCATCGTCGACATAGTACTTAGAAGCACACTTCTGGGTCCATAACGGCAGGTGGTAGATCTTGGCTCTGCCATTTACTACTTTATTTGTCCTTTCTCAGACTCATTGGCCTTTGAGAAAATGTTGCTTTGTCGATCACAGAGGGTTGAGACAAGTATTGAATGAGATAAGGTTTGCAAAGCTCCAAGGCAAAGCAGAGTGCTTGAGTGTTCAATAAATGGTAATTATTACCCAAAGGGACTCTCGTTTTCTATGTCGTTGTCCATGGAAGTCTAGTCACATTCTCACTACTTAATTTTTTTAACATGCAATTCTTAAAGGGGGCCCGTGAAGGATAAAGAATGCTGTCTTTGGGGAAAGGGAGACGCTAATCAACTTCTAAGGCTGCAGGGCATGATGCTTCTTCATATATTTGTGAAGCCAAATATATGCTTCTTCATATATTTTGTAATACATAGTCAACAAAATCCAAACGCTTTTATGCTTTTGAAACAAAAATTTTAAACACAAGTTTAACAATATTCAGTACATATTAGATTAAATCATGTAATGAGTCATTTCAGTGCTTGACAAGCTTCTTAGTTCTAAGCCCTTAGACACTTCCTGTAATCAAAACCCATTTTCAAATTCACGGGAAGATATTATCTAATGATCCACTCAAGTCTTTTCATGTTCTTAATCTGGGGTCCGTTTCAGTGGCCTGTCTCACATCAGCTGTCATTTTTGTGTGTGAAATGTCACTCCACATTACACTTTTCATGGGAACAGTTCTCATCTTTGGTTTCAATTCAATTTAACTATAATCAGATCCATATGTCTCAGGACAATTGAATTCTCTTAAAATCTCTTCTGTGCAGATGAGATAGTAATCACTACTTCTTGTTGATGCTACTGAAATTTCTTGATACCATCTTGGTGCTGCCTGGGAAGCCATTGGGCCTGCTATTAAGCAGACACGCTGCCTTTGCCCACTGAGATGGGCCCAGCGCCACCACTGGAAACAGCTAGGCCAGGCTGTGGCCACCAATGCCACTGTGTCATCTCCAGTGTTGATACCACAGTTTTCATCACCCCGTTTACCTACCCAAAATCCCACTGAGTTAGTGCCCTTTTGAATTATAGGGAAACTTTTTCTTACACCTCATTTTATAAAAACCTTGACTGAGAACAGCTCATTGGATAATAAGACTTTGGAAAGGTATAATAAATAGCATATTTTTGTTTTGTTTGTTTGGTTGAGTTTTTTCCAGTCTTCCCTCCACCAGTTGACAAAAAGGTTTGAGCCACAGTACCATTCGCCCTTGCCATACTCAAAATTGCCTTTCTACAAGAACAACTGAGCTACTTTCTTCACATCTGACATGTTTGCCTGACTTTCACTAGAAGTTTGTTTCAAAGAAGCTTCTGTTGTAAGACCCCTGGTAGATATGACCCTATCACTCCTCCAGACAAAGGAAAACTCCTTCATTCTGTCATCTGTGGGCTGCCTGGCTGAGAGCATGCTAGGGTTGTAGGTAGCACTGTCCAGAGTAGGGAAACAAAGGACACTGGCACCAGGAAGGATCATGGCCCAGAAAATTCACCCAGCTGAAGAAGGGGGATACCAATAGGCAACTCCACAGTATCCCCAGGGGCTGAGCTTGATTCCACCTAATTGCTCAAAATCACCCAAGAAAATCCACCAGGTAAGCAAAGTCAGGCTGTGGAGGTCAGGGCAGAGCTATGAGTGGGCCCTCAGCAACATGGCCTCTAGGTCTGGAGACTGGCAAAGCTTGGCTGTGGTCATAGTCCAGCCCTCCAAGCAGACTTCAGATAAAGTCAAAACAAACCAACTCTACAAACACTTCCTCCCACTAGGCACTTTGGGGGAACTCTACCCAAAGCAGTCTGAAGGGAATGCTCAAATGAAAGAGTAAAACATTAAAAACAGAACAGGAAAAAATGAGGTTGTGCATAGGACTGAGGAGACAAATGAGGTACACAAGTAGTTCACAAGCCCAGGGCCTCCAGAGAAATGGTTAGGAAGATGGGATGTGTGGGTTTTGGCCTCTGCTAGCCATGGCAGCAGCTACGTGCCTCTAGCTCAGACTAGCGTTTCTTAAAGTGGCCTCATCTGGCTGGATTCAGAGCATCTAGAAAACCAAAGCAGAAGCTCAGATGTATGGTTCAGACTTACCAAGTGACTTAGGAATGGTGTCACTGCTAAACTAAGACTTGTGGGTTAGGAGTCTGGGGTTCAGATATTAACTCTCACACTTAGTCTGATTTTGGACAAGTTCATCTCTGTGTCTCTGTATCCTCCAGTAAAGAACTCGATAGGGTTCTTTTAAGGATTTGGGACGATCACATCCTAGTACCTGGCTCAGAGTAGATATTCAGAAGGAAAGTGGGCTGTGGTCTAATTGACTTACAGCAGCACTAGTTCCTGACTGCTTTCACTGCTGGCTGAGCCTGTTGTGGGTTTGCCTTCCCGGATAGGGGAAGAACTGGGCTGGCAAGCTGGACTGCAGGGATGTGTCTCATGGCTGAGAGAAGGGAGTTGGCAAACCAAGGCCAGAGGTGGGTGATGAGTTGAAAGCAGAGCCAGGGCAGGAGGGGGCAGCCTGGAGCATCAGCTGATCTGGGAAACTAACTTGAATCACAATATAAGCAAATATTCACGTTTTCCTCCTAGACTCACAAAGGCACACCCCTTTCCCTGGGACATGATACTGGGATTATAATAGGAAATATATATCTCCAGCACAGAGTTCTTAAAAACCTTGGAATTGCCTTAAGTAGTGGGAGCAGAAAGGGGTCTTTGTTATGTTAATGAGGTGACACTGCTGGCTTTTGCCTAGAAAACTAACTCAGTGAATGGAGAGCTGAAATTGTCAGTCCTTCTGTTAGGGGGAAATGATGTCCCAACACTTCCCCTCTGGGTAGGGGAGAAGGGCTGGAGACTGAGTTCAATCACCAGTGGCCAATGATTTAATCTCTCAAGCTGGCGTGAATACCGAACAGGCAGGATTCAGAGAATTTCTGGTCACTGGACACATGGAGATTCTGGGAGAACGGTGTGCGTGGAGAGAGCCTGGAAGCTTCACGCCTCTTTCCCCATAGCTTGCCCTATGCACCTCTTCCATCTTGCTCTTCCTGAGTTACATCTTACTATAAACTGTAATCTAGGAAGTCAACTGTTTTCAGTTCTGTGAGCCGCTCTAGCTAATCAGTCAAGCCCAAGGAGAGAGTTGTTGGACCTCTAACCTGTAACAAGTAAGTCAGAAGCACAGGTGACAACCTGGACTTTCAACTGGCATCTAAGTGGTGGGAGCAGAGTCTTGTGAGACTGAGCCCTTCACCACTGCGGTCTGACGCAGCCAGGTAGTTTCGAGGTTAAGTTGAACCATAGGACACCTGGCTGGTATCAGAGCTTTGCTTGGTGGCATGTGAGGCCCTCCCTCCTGCCCCCACACTGGTACTGGAGTCAGAACCATCTGGTGATATGGCTGTGCCCACGCGTGTGCACACACTTCACAGCCAAGGTCAGGTGGGAGAGTCTCGCTCTGCACTAAACCCTGACTTTTATGACTTTCTCTGAGTGATAGCATCGCATGTTAACATTGGATCTTTGACATACAGTGCATATATTCCATTTTCAAAGTATTTGCTGTGCTCCCAGAGTTCATATGTACATTTCTTGTTATTGCTATATCCGTGGAAGTGACTTTGGATTTCTTTCCCAGGGTGATAGCAGATTAATATGAACTCAGGGAGATGCTTGACTCAGGAATGCTAGACTGAGGGGAAACACAAGAGATCTTGCTTCTCTAAATCTGGGGTTAGCCCCCTCTTCAGGTGGAAACCAGGCCTGGATACTGCTCTCCTCAGGCCCTTCCCTCCCCAGAGTACGTCCCTCTCCTCTGCTCCTCTCAAGTCTGGGATTCCTCCTGTGGGCACATGAGCTTTCCTGCCTTTGTGCCTTTGCACAGGCTCTTTTCTCTGCCCCTCCCCCATGACTTCCCCCCCCCTCCCCCCCCCCCCCCCCCCCCCCCGCTGGTGGACTCTTCAGAGTAAATGGCCCCCCACTTAGCTTTTGGAATCTGCTCTGTAGAACTCAGTGCCCTGGAAGATAGTCCTTTCCGTCTCTTTGCACATCCAGCATTTTATGCCCACTTCTGTTCTCCAGTTTCTCACGTTGTCGTTTCTCCCTCTGTGAGCCCTTTGAAAGCAGAGTGTGTGTCTTACTCTTGGTATCTATATCGCCTGTATCTGTTCCAGTGCTTGGTATACATTAAAAACTATGGGTGAAAACCAAAGAATTCTTTTTGTTTCTTTTTCGTACAGAAACGATGACTATGGGAAGAGGATTCCTTGTGCCAAGGACACAGTAGGACAACCATCTTACAAAGATCTTAAGTAACTTTTCCCATCCAACAACACCCGGACGACTCCAGTGACCAAATGCTCGGCTGTAACCATGGCAATAACTGGCCCTCATTCCAGATTGGGTTTGCTGAATGTGAACCATCCAGCTGTCTCTAGGTGGCCCAAGTGCCATATTGCAAGGGAAGCACATCCATTATGGCCAAGAACCAAGATAAGACTATGGAAGAAACCAGCTGATACAATGCAAGTGCTGAGAGTACCTGGAGAGGTGGGACTCTTACAGAGTAACACGAGGTCCTTGGTGATGGGGTCATAGCACCTGCCCTGGCCTCATCATGCCGACACGATGTTCTTTGCTTGAATGCCCTGGAAGGACAGAATATCTTAAAATACATCCAGGTGCTAAATAAGCAGCAGATCTAATTCACACTGGACTTCCTTTTGAGCTAATAACTGTCTCCAGAAAATAATTTCACCCCAACAAGTGCTCTAGCTTTGCAAAGAATAGCCCCACAGGAGTCACAGGATCAGTGGGCTGTTTCCCTGGTGAAACCTGGTGAAGGAGTACTAGTTCCCAGCAAATTCACTGCCCGCCCTCCCCATGCACATGGCACAGAGTACCAGTTGATCATGGCTCTCTCGTCTGCTAATTCCAGGTTCTGAGGAGTCAGATCCCTAGTACTGTTTTCTAGGTAGCCGGGACCTAGCCTTTCAACTGGTGGTTGGCATTAGAATGAACATTAGTTAATCGTCACCACTGTAAAGAGGCATGAATCTCAGCGGTGTGAGCTTTCTGGAATGCCCTTTCCCAAGCACATCAGTCCACTGAGGGGACACCCTCAGATATAGGTGTAGCTGTGTGTGAGGACAGTAGAGGGAGAGATCACACAGCCCTCCCCTGAGGGAAGGCACAGCTGGTTGGGCCTTCTTGGTCTGAGTGCCTTCTGGGGGTATTTCCATATGCAACAACCCAGAGGCATAGCCTTGGGTAGCAACAAACAGGTTTCCTTTTCACTCTCAGACTTATAGATCACTCTCATAGCACTTGGGGAATGGAAATACCTGCAAGAGTGAAGGTCAAGGGCTGTCCCCGGGTATCTCATTCATTATTCAGCTTCCTCTGTGACCACATCAGCCAGTCCACTGCCAGCCATGCTCCTCATCCTCATTGCTTCTGCCTTCATACAGATGAAACCAAAGGCCTCAGCACACCCAGGAGAGGGTGTTTCCTCGTGATCCTCTCTCTTCCATTGTGGGTGCAAAGTATCCCATCCACACATTTGCACCACATCTCCAAGATAGCATTTCCCTTTTCATATAATGCTTCTGCAGCAGAATCCAGAGTTGAATTGCAGTTTTCCTTCCTGGGAAGCTCATTATCATTGTTTGAATTAACATTTCAATGAAAGAGTAACTGGGTGGAAGCAGGATTACTGCATGTCTTCAAAAAGTTCTCACTGCCACAGCTACCTAGTGAAAGCAATTGCCCTGATGCCAGTTCTATAAAGGATGGAGACCCATGTTAGTGTGAGGCAGTGTTACTACACTCTAGTTTCGTGCATTCCCCAGCCTGCTGGATCCATTTCCATCTCTGAATGACTTTTGACCAGGATCCAAAAGGAGCCCAAGGTTCTGCCTATATCCAATGATATGAGAAGGATTCAACATTCTTTACCCAAGGTTCCCCTCTGCCTGTTCCTCCCCATCAGACATTCCCCCCTATACCAGTGTTTAGAACCAAAGCATGAAGGACCAGTGCCAGCAAGATAGTCACCAGAAATAGTATCTCTTAGAGTCAGACAGAAGAGGCCAGAAGAATGGTCCCCAAGAAACCTGACTGGCCACAGCAGATATCAGGCAGCCATTCAATTAATTTTGATGTGTCCTTGGCAATGGGAACCTGGGTAGGAGATCCTGGGGCAGCTGTGCCTAAATGCGCCCCCCCCCCCAAGATTGTCCTTCCCAGACAGCTATCAGCCCTGGGGTGCTAATAAGTTTGCTGCTGGTTTGTTGGTGTGAAGCAGAAAGTGGCTTAGCAGGGGCCAGCAGGCAAAGAGGCCAGCCCACATGGCAGATAGGGGTCTTTGTGTCTGGAAGGCTTTGCTTAGCCAGTTTAGCTGTGGCCAAAGGCCAGTTATAAATTTGAACTCCCTGAGCCCATCTGCAACTCTGCCTCTTTTCTCTTGCTTTCTGTTTGGTTTCCCTTTAGTTTCCTAGTAAATGTTCCTTTTGAAAAATTCTAACCTTGTCTCATTGAACTTGGGGGATGGGGATTCTCCAATGTCTTTTCCAGGCTAGAGAAGGAAATTAAAGTACCTTGAAAATGGAAATAGCAGGGAAAAGGAGAACATGCTAGTAGGAGACTCTGGGGAAAGCTAGTGCCGAGAGATAGAGACCTCGTGTCCTCCACCTGCCTGGCATGTGCCCTCAGCTCTTTTCTCTTGCCATCTTTCTCTTCAAGGAGATCCGCCCTGCATCTGTGTTGCTGCCAGAGTAGCTATCTAGCCAGTGAACCAGGCATGTTGAGCATGCATTGTAAGGTACGGGAAGTACAGGGTACATGACCAGAGGAGAAACTGGGGAGTGTGGGGAAGCAGTGGTCTCCACACAGTGGATTTTTTCAAAATGCTTCAACAACTCAGAATGGAGAGTCTTCGCAGTCTTAGCCTTCACAGCCATCAGTGAGGAGACAGCTTTCACGTGAAGAGAAAAAAGTCATCTTCTCCTACTTCCTCAATGAGACTGTTAAAATATAGCTATGGAAAATGTCCTGTTATCTTCATGGCTCTCCTGTCCTGGTGGATGTTCCAATTATCTATTGCCACATAACAAAGCACTACTAAACCCCCTAGTTCAAATAGAAAGTTGTTATCTCATGGCTGGGTTGACTGGGTTTAGGTGATCGCTCTCTCCTGTGGAGTAATCTGGGTGCTGTCAGATGGCAGTTAAGGCTGGCGTCACCTGAATGCCTGACTGGGTCAGAGAGCCACGCTGGATTCTTCACTCACGTGTGACTGCTCGGCTGGGTGACTGGACCACATGGAGGCTGGTTGGGCTTGTCACGTGATTGCAATGTCATGGGGATTTCAAGGCAGTCAGACATCATACACAGTGGCTCGTTTCCCCCAGAGCTAACACTGCAAGAGGTCCCAGTAGAGGCTGCATGTTCCTTCTAAACTCTGAAGTTACACAGAGTCACACCCACCATGTACTATTGGCTAAGAACAAGTGACACAGCTCGCCCAGATTCAGGGAAGGTTCTGCACAAGAATGGAGTACATGAAGGTGTGGCTCATAGGGGCCATGTCAGAGAGAGTGAGGGTGGGACTGGAGGTGCAGGGGGGTGGGCAGGAGGGTGGAGGGGGTGTCACTGAATCAGAAGGCTTCCTGGATAACTGTCACTTTAAAAGCACATGCAATGCTTGACATGCACAAGGATGGGGTGAGGCGTAGAGAAAAAAGGGGTAAAGAAGAGGGAGAAAGATGCCCCATGGACAATTAGATAGAGCTGAAGCTAAAGATACAATAGGTAATTGGTAATAATTGATGTGAAGTGTCTGATGTCACAAGAGAGCCTGAGAGACAAGCATGATTATTTTCATTCTACTGATTGCCCCAAAGCTTGAGTTGGATGCTACACCACCATCTCTGAGCCATAGTAAAGGTGCAAAGAAGAGATTTCCATGCTTGAGAACACACTTAGCAATGAAAATGCAAAGGATGCTAGCTAGAAGTATTTTGTCCCTTTTCTGAACACTTCAGAAAAAATGATCGGCAGCTTCTAAGAGATTTTATCAAGTCTAGCTGGAAAGAGCTTACTTCTCTGTGACTTGTCCCTTCACACGCGGTCCCACATGGCTGGTGTGCTGTGGTGCATCCCCCTCCTGCCTCTCCCTCTCTTGCAGCAATCCTGCCATACCCAATAGCAGGGCCAGTCCACTGCTCCGCCCCCCATGCTGGCCTCCTCCAAACTCAGCCACTTTGCTGTAAATTTCAATACAACGACATAGAAAGTGATTTAATGAACTGAGAAAAGATCATCAACGTGGATGAGCATCTGGCCAAAAGCAATCTGCAATCTGTATGTGGATCTTGAGAATTCTGCAGGTCATTTAGCTGTCCATGGCTACCCATGTCACTGATGTCGCTGAAGACTGTTGGGAATGTCCAGCCTCTGGAATTGCCACCTGTACACAAGTCAGAGAGGATGGCCCCACTTGTTGCTCAGGATTCCTGAGCCCGTGGCTGACAAAGAGCACAACCTGGGCCTAGGAGTGGCCAGAGACCTCTCCAGACTCAGGTTTCTCACTCTTCTCTCTCCAGTCGCTCTCAAGGCCAAGAGAGATGAAACCTCTCAATATCCTTTAACAGTCACCTGCAGACACTTCCTTAGTCGTAGACCCCATGATGCCTGTCACAGAGGTGCTGCTTGGCACCTTCTGAGCCAGAGAGAAGTCATTGGCTGTGTTCAGAGAGTTCTGCTGTCTCTTGGAAATGCTCTTTCCAGAAGAGGCGCATATGAATGGGGTCTTTCTATTACCATACACCCTATTTCACCTTCTTTCCAACTTCATATGAAATAATTGGCCTCTGTGGAAGACATGAAATAGAAATATTGAGGAAAAAAAAGAAAAACTGCCCTGCCAGTTGATGAAGTAGCCCAGGGAAGACTTGAACTCAAGTCCAAGGAAAACGGGAAAGTAGGGGTTGACAACTTTCCAGGAGTTGCAAGTGAGGCTTAGTCCTCACCCCTAGGGCCAGTGTGAGACAAAGAGAAGCTCTACACAGCATCATGGCCTTGCCTCCAGTAAGCTGTGGTGTCAGGTTGAAGCTCCCTTTGTTTAGTTTCCTGAGAGAACACATCAAGGTCATACAAGGATGAAGGATGATGGCAGAACCCACTTCTTCCTTCTTCCACTCAAAGGTTTAATTGTCACTTGCTGCCCAAGCTCCCTGGGAATATAGGTTGCAAAATTAAACTAGCAGTATAATCTCGCCTGTACCTTCACTCCCTGCTATCTTTTCACTCTGTCCAGGAGCCCTGGGCCTGGGAAGGACTAAGAGCCAAGATTGAAGATGGTTCCAAAAGAATGGGAGCAGGTCCCAAAGTCCAGTCACCCTGGCTGAAACTCAGTGTCATTAGGATCCCCCAGCTCATGCACAGGCCAGATGATGATTTGATGTACCTGTTCCTGATGGATAAAAGAGTAGGCTAAAGGGATGTGGACCACAGGCCCTGCCCTTTAAGTCATTGCCACTGGCTTCTTTAACACCCTCCTGAGCTAGACGGATATGATGAGCACAGTCAGAGGGTTAGAAAGCATAGGAACATATGGTTATTCATGATAACACTGCACCTTGCAGCACGGTATTGCTTTTACCCACTTATTTTTCGAAAATTCAATTTGTGACTCCAGATAGTGAAGTTAGTATAAAGAAAGAATGAAAAAGAAAAAAAAGAAAGTTAATATCTTCTTGACTTAATACAAAATTTATTGTAGTTATTACTCCAGTAATTATCACATTAAAGCTCTTTCCAAAACAGCATCTGACACAGTAATGTTGATGTTTTTTCTTATCAAGTGAACATCATCTCCAAGACAATGACTTCTCACAACTTAGATAAAATTTCTTTCATATGATGACATCATCCAGATTTGAATTTATCAGAGTAAGGCAAATTCTCTATTTCACCAAACTCAAAGCTTTGGGAGAATAATAAAAAAATATTTCTTCAAATGCCTAAAGACATTTGTATTCAGGGATTTAGAGATAAACTTACAGATGATATAAAGTGGTAAATTAACCTTCCAGAGAAGGCATTACCTTCACTTCAAAGATATAATCAATTTTTATATATCTTTTTCTCAGGGAATGTTAGAGCTCAATTAAAAATATTCAGTCTAAAAGCTTTCAAATGATCCTCATCTGAAAGGTGTTTTAGAAAATGGTGCAAGCTAAGAACTTAATAAAGAAAAGTGTTGCCATAAACTATACATTTCTTGAATGAAGACAAATGTACTGTCCCTGCCTGCATGTCTACAACTCAGATTGGAGCTCCGCTGAGAACCCACTGGGTCTCCTGACTCCAGCAAGGCTCATAGACTTTCTTAGCCAAGAGGCAAATCTGCATTATGGTCCCAAACTGCAGTCAGTATGTTTATACTGTGTTTTCTACAAAGGAAGTATAAATGCAAAAATGTTTTATTGAGAATATGCCCCAGGCAGCACAGGGTCAAGCCTCCCAGAGCCAGAAAGAGGGTTTCTTTGCTACCAAATAAAAAGGACCAGGAGCTCCAGTGTGCTATTTGCAAATGAGAACTCCCAGGATTGCAAGTATTTTGAGCGAACTAAGTATGGTTCTAAAACATGTATTGATTTTACTTTGTTCTCTGCAAAGTTAAGTATCACGCTATCTTGACCAGCACTGGTACGTTTTGAAAATAATTTTTGTTCCAGTAAAATGATCAAGGAGACATTTAAACTTTACCTTCCAGTGTTTTCCACACTTGAAATCCACAGACAGCTGCCTGACCGACTGGCTGCAGTGGATCCTGGGCCCTAACTGTGCTCTTCACGGCTTCTCCCTGGCCCGAGGGGACCAGCCCTTGCTGTACTGTGCACTTAGCAGCTCTGAAAACCCCTCTGGCTCTCTGGCCAGGAGATGCCATTTTGGCAACAACTACCTCTGGATTTTATTCTCATTCTGAAAGATGGTTCTTCTTTCTCCCAAAATAATGTAGAACAAAGGAGGATGAATCCATCATTAAGCTGAATAACAACTGTATGTACATTCAGGGTCAGGGATTGTGCCACCAAAAGTGAACCCAAAGGCAGCATTCTTAATTTTTCCATGTTTTAAACTTAACCTTGAGTTTTTAGGTGAAGTAAAGATAGAATTTCAAAAATGATAAACAATGGCCTCAAAGAAAATCCAAGAGGTATGTCTGTCACTGTAAAGAGGCCCATAACACCAGGAAAATTTAACAAATTAGTCAAATGCTTATTCCATCTGGTAGACCAAATATTGACATTTGACTGTCTGGCTCATGTTCATTCGCCAGCCCATGTAAAGTAGCTGTTGGCGGGTCCTTCCTTAAAGGACTTCTCCTGTGCACGAGCATCAGTGGGATCCACTGCCCCTCCAGCTTGGAAGACTGGATCAGACTCGGGAAACCCCTAGCCTGCACTGAAAGTCATCTGTTTCCCTGGGGAGCCCAGGTCCTTGTGGAGAAGGGTGTTTATATACGTGACCAACGAGCTCATGACCTTCTTACCCTCCAGGGGATAAGGCAAAAGCAGTAGTTTAGAAAAGGCCGATTGTAGGCTTTCAAACTGTAATTACACAGGGGCTAAGGACCAGGAAGGATGACTAACTAAACTTTTACCCACCACTTGAAACTATTCTAGTGCATGAGCTCACTGCTCTGGGCTAGTGGTAAAACATTTGCCTTATTCTGGTAGACAAGCCATGGTAGAGACCAACCGGCTCTAGAAGAGGAAGAAGGAAGTCAAGCCAGTGAGCTCCAGGCAGTGTGCTGGTCAGGGCTGGAGTGCTGCTCTGCTGCCAGCAGCACTGGAGTAGGACCGTGCCTTCCTGCTACACTCCTGGCC